CTGGAGTTCAGCCCTCAGGTCGCTGATCCGATCATCTCCCAACTGGCCTTCTGTCATCACTGTTTATGTTCTTTTGGCTCCACCTGCAGGCAGAGATGAAAACTGCAGCATGGAGTCGGTAATTCAGTGAATGGAGGAGCCAACGGTGCTGCTATTAAGAGAAGAAATAAACCATAAAAACTGGCTTATGGTTTGTAAACTGTTTGTAAACCATAAACTGGCTGTAAGAGACAATGCTGCAAACTAAAATTCTGCAACCGCAGAAAAAACATTTTGCAACTTCAGGAAAAAATGCTAAATATGGAAACAATAATGCAAAAAAAGTTACAACCACAGAAAAAAATGCTCCAACTTAAGAAAAAATGCTGTTGCGACTTCAAGAGAAAATGTTGCAACCGTAGAACAAATTGCTGCAACTTGGGGAAAAATGCTGCATTTTCTGAAAGAAATGCTGAAACTGCAAGAAATAAAAGCAAAAGCAGAAAAAGCCTTGTTTTATTTGCTAAAACAAGTTTAAAACTTTACAAACTCGTTCCATAAAATAAAGTCCTCCAGGCCACCAGGGGGAGTCAAACGTCAGCTCATTTGGGACCAGACAGAATTTCATTGATTTATATATTTTTAGTCTTTTACATTATAGAACAGCAGCAGATTTACGAAGCCATTACCGACCCCTCACTATTTCCTTCTGCTTTTATTTCCTCCGGTTGCAGAATTTTTCTGTTGTATGTTTTTTGTGTTTCCAGATTTCTGCCACCGTAACCTGAACCAAAGGTAAGTCATGATTTACCAACCTGGACGGTTAGATCACTTTTTAACTCCAGAATTTAATTTATCACCTGAAAAACGGAATTTTGGTCCTTAAATGTTGAGAATGGAGACTAGAAAAGAAGAAAAAAATGCGAGATATCTTAATTTTAATGCCATCAACCCTTCATTTATTGAGTTCAAAGTTTCACCAGAGCAACATGACGGGACATCGAAGAGCAAGAAAACAGTTTGTGCAAATAGTGCATTTCCATAGAGAAACAGGCAGGAGAGAGAAAAACCAGACAGATTCAGAGCCACTGCAGCCAGAAACAGAAAACCTGCTCAGTTTGTGCAAAGCTGCAAAAAGTCTTGGTTTGACAGAAAAACCACCAACTGGAAGTAGAAACACAGAGGTAGCGTCAGGGAAACCTCTCAGGGTCATGCTGAGGTCAGCTGGCAACAGGCTGGGGTCAAGCTGGCTCCATGCAGATAAACGCCACAGAATATTTACGTTACAGTTTAACCTGGAAAGACCGCAGCTGCTTATAAACAATGGCCACTAGAGGGCAGCAAAAACAAACATTTAAATTCAAGCAAGCAAATCTTTAATTTATTTAGAGCTTAAGAGAAAATATTCCTTATGAGAATGGAGCTTCATATGCACCATCTTTTTATTGCATTATTTATGCTGATACATTATTTAATAAATTTACTGTTTTACTATTGGAGAGTTGCAGCAAAATTTCGCTCAATATTTACATTTTAAATGTTCAGTTGAATGATAATAAAGTCTGTTTATATCCATGCCTAATAAGAATAATTATATTTAAAAAATAAAAAGTAGGAAGAAACTAAGATTTAATTAAAATTGAAGTATAAAGGAAAATGTTTGT